TCCAGTTGTATTTAAAAAAAGTTATGAACACTAATTCTATTTTAGCAATGGCTGAACTGATACTCATGAAGTTATAACAGATCTTCTGCCGCTTTAAAGCAAACAAATTTTTAGGTTTCGGAGAACTTTCAAGTTGAATTTAAAGGGACCGTACGTAACGGTCGAGTAAATTTTTTTTTATTTACGGACGAAGCGTTTTGAAACTTGATACACATATGTAAAACAGAAATCGATGACTTCTTTCTTCGTGTGAATTTTTTGAAAAATTAAAGAAATCCCCCCCCACCTCCACTCTTCCAATATATGTCAAACCATGAACAAACTCGAAAAATGGGTTCCTAGAGTCGCTAGGTATTGTCTTTACGAATCGAATGGTATGTCTTTCATTGCTGTAGCTTGAACACTGTAGGGGCTGTTAAGTTTTTAATATGGCGTTTTTCTTATTTATAACTTTTTTAAGAGAGCCAATTAAATTAAAATTTATTAAAAACAGAAGAATATGCCAAAAAATTCTTGATATTGTAGCCCAAGCTTTTCCATTGGCAATTATTTGCATTTAGGGTTTTATTTATTTTATTTATTCCCACATGAGCACACGTTACAATGAAAAATAAAAAGAGACGTGAAATAAAATAGCAAGGCTTCCAGGTGAATGCCCATATAAGCTAAAAAAGCCTCGAGGCAAAACAATAGGTACAAAACTCAATTCCAATGATAACGAGGCGACGATTAGAACAAATAAGTAACAAATTTCTAAAATAATCAAAACCATTGACAAAAGCCTTAAAAAACTGATAACCGTATGTCATAGTAGGAAAATCAGCATAAAAGAGGCAATGCCCACATTACACTTAGTAAAACAGAGTACAACTACAAACATCTAGTCAAAATGCCAAAAACTTGCATAATAATCGAATTCAAATTAATACTGGTTCTTTTTTAATACACGCTCATTTGAGCGAAGAGGCTTCGCTAAAAACCGTCTTCAGTACGCCAAAAGATCATTTCAAATTTAAAAGACTGCCGTTTGGTCTAATCGACTCTCCTTGCATATTTAAATCTCTAGTGACTGCAGCACTGAATTATTGCTTGGAATCTCTGCATTATGTCTATCTAGACGATGTTATTCTTTTCTCAAAAACTGAAAACGTGCACATGAACCACATTATAGACGCTTTGCGAAAAATTCGCGATTTCGGGTTAAAGATAAAACTCGAGATAAGTGAGTGATGCAAGAAATAAGTTAAATTCCTTGGACATATTGTCTTAATTAACGGAGTGAAAGTTGACGATGGGAAATTTGAGTGTATCTTTCTCATATTTTTGTACCTATTGCTTGCCCTTGCAAACTCATCTCCGATAATGCGAAAGAATTTTAAAGTGATCTCATTCGTAGTTTGTATGAGCATTTCGGAATTCAGAAGTTAGAAATATAGCCCCCCCCCATTCAGCAAGTTTGGGTCTATATAGCTGAACGAAAGAACCAAAACATTATTAGAGTACTTGAACATTTTGTGACAGCAGAAAATTTTTGTGAGTGGGGAATATTTCTCCACGAATGCATGAGTGCGATAAATACTGCATTTACCGTAATATTTGTGATTCACCCAATTTCACGTTATTCGCAACTGACAAAAATCACACCGCAGCTTTTGCATCACAAATGCCAATCTATAACTATTCTGATCATTACTGGGTTGCAACTCAAAGATTTACGAAAATTCGAGAATATTTGAAAAAAGTATTAGATGAAAAGTAAACATGTCTGAATATCTAGCTCAGAAAAACAAAGATACGAGGAAATGCAAGCTTTCCATAGGAGACCGTTGCTTTGTAAAACGCGTCCCTCACGAAAATGACGTAGAAAATACACTGCAAACTTTGAAAGCCCATATACTGTAATCGAACAACTTACTTATAAAAGAATACTTATAAAATGATAATAAAATATTTATAAGAATCAACATACTGTGACCGGAAAAATCAGACGTTCTCATATCCATAACATTCTCACGCGTTATTAGTCGAGAGGTTACCATCATGTTTCAGAAATCGATACTGCCTTAATGCTCATGCGTGTTGAAGAAAAAAGCGTCATGGAAGCAGTTTCAATACCAAACATTTTATATTGTGCGAAACGAAGTATTGCTCTCTATGATAGAAGAATAGACTTATCGTGAGAATATTTTGATCATATCGTCCGACACTGAGTAATGATGTTTTCACATTTTCGCATTGGCATGAAATGAGTTTTATGCTTACGCTTACTTTTCTTACTTATTTCAAGTATTGAATGAACGACTGAATGTTCATTCGAAAATTGATTCTCGTGAAGAGATGTAGTAAGCTCTAGTACATCTCTTCTCTAGTACTAGACTCTAATAAGCTCTAATAAGCTCTAGTAAGCTGTGAAGACTTCTCAAACGCTCAGTTATCTAATTGTATTCTACTGGTTTTTACAGTGTTAACGGATAATACAAGCATGTAAGTGTGAACGATTATTGAATGTTCATTATTTAATGTATTGAACAATCGTTGAATTATCGAATTCAAGTACAAATTGTGAATCGTTGAAATAGTAGATTACATATAATCTCTAAAGAACACATTAATTTTTTTAACGTAACTGCAGTAATAATGGGAAAAGTATTGTTACAAATTGAATTCTTAAAAATTGCGACACTATACAATGTATTACAACTCAGTATTTATAACTACTGTATGTCTTACATTTTTCTGTATGCAAAACTATGTGAATATTAGGATACGTAGTGACCAGTACGAGTTTTTTAGGGCCTATATACCTTCAAAAAAGTTAAGAGATCGTAAGTTCATCAGCCAATCATTGACGGCCTTTCGAGCAAAATCCACCAATCATAGACAAGAAAATAGAGCGTAAGCACTTATACGTTCACTTAGCGAATTTTGGAAGTATGGCCCCAGGAAGCCACAACTGATGGCAACCTTGCTGTGGTTNCACTGAAACTGGTAAGTGGATCGTTCTTTGTAACTATTGAATTTCCTGGTCACAGGTATCTAGCAGACTCGCTTGCTAACATGATCACGATCGCAGAAGGCAAGATCTGCAAGTCCCGCTCGGGAAATGATTTTTAAGCTCGACTGCGTCCATAAGAGTTTGGTGGGAACAATTCTCTGTAAACTTGTGTGCATATGTTTGATCAGGTTATGAAAGATTTGGATATGAAGGACCGTCGTCAGTTTCTCGTTTATAACTTTGATTGCCTGAAAAAAGATAAAAGGCACCTTGAACTTATATTATCAACCCACTAAGGCACCTTGAGCATACATTACCAACCCAATAATGCACCTTCACCATATATTATCAAGCCACTAAAGCGCCTTGAGCTAATATTATCAACCCAGTAATGCATCTTGAACATATATTATCAACCTATGAAGGCACAGTGACCTCATATAATTTCAAGTCATTAATTATTCATCCCCCCTTAACACGCTACTTCAGAATTAAAGCAGCCCTCGTTAGTTTTTATTGTCACGTGATATAAAGTTCAGATTAAAGAACTGCAATCATCTGGAGCTACTGCATCAATACGGTTGGGAAACTTTCTCGCCACGCAACGCTAATGACTTATAGCTCAGTGACGTACCGATTAATATTTCATGGCTTTAATGTCTTACAGCTTAACGTCTTACGGCTTTATTTCTTACGGCTTTATGTCTCACGGCTTAACGTATTACGGCTTTATGACTTACGCCTCAACGTCTTACGGCTTTATATCTTACAGCTTTATGTCTTACAGCTTTATGTCTTACAGCTTAACGTCTTACGGCTTTATGACTTACGCCTCAACGTCTTACGGCTTTATGTCTTACGGCTTAATGCCTTACGGTTTCATGTCTTACGGCTTTATGTCTTACGGCTTCATGTCTTACGGCTTTATGTCTTACGGCTTTATGTCTAACGGCTTAACGTCTCACGACCCAAAGTCTCACGACGTCGCAGTGTCAGCACACGCGATGTGCACATTATCCCAACTCTCCCTGCTGCAATGGCCTTCATAACGTGTTCGAGAACTAGTGAACTTCATAACGTGTTCGAGAAAAAAAAAGTTCACTTCTTACTGTTGAATAAGAGATGCCCTCGCCCCCAGGTTACAGTTGCAAGTTATTTTTCAAGACTCGACTTTTTCATATCTTCAATTCTTTAATTCTAAGCAACCTAAAGCATTTCGTTTCATTTCACAATGAGGAATGTTCGATAATTTTTTCTATGATTTATTTTTCGTTACTGAAAAGGTTTCTGTCGATGTCTAACTTGGTTGTAGATTCATATATATATTACAAATAATTTTAACCATTTATTATTATGGTTAATATTATGATTTTACTTAAATTATATTTAATCAAAGTCGGGAATTGAAGGTCTTTAACATTCATACTTACGATGTTGTACTCTCAATCATACATGCAATTTCTTTTCCTGGTTCATTTACGCAACTCCGTTCCCTCATTCATACAAGCGATTTCTGCCTTTATTTATACATACGATAAAGTTCCCTCATAAATAACTGTAATTTCGTTCTTTCATTTATTCAGTTGATTTTATTCCATTATTCATGTACGCTATAACATTGCCAAGCTTCCAAAGAACACATGGGATTTAGGCTTAACGAAACGTTTAAAATAATGACCCTAAGTTTCCCACCAAAACTATGTACGTAATTAAATTCACAAAATCAACGAGCATATATGAAGGGACACGTAATTTCTGTCGATGCATAAATAATTTATCTAAATATTGTTATGTATCAGGAATAACAGAAAAGATTGCTGATTTTAACAGACCCTGAACAGTGCTGCGACAATGCGACACAAAGAAACCAATGACAACGGCAGCATTCAACAATATACCCCGAAAAATGCAGCTGCAATGCGGCACAACGCAACCCATGACAACGCCAACATATTCGTCGTATCGTTGGCCTCTGGCGAGGCACACGGCAGTCAGCAGTCGTCGAGGCCGGATTGTGGCGTTAGTGTAGCACACGTCAGTCAGCAGTGAGCAGCTGGTCAGGTCGTGCAGAGGCTGTTCGTGCTCGCTGAGAAGACTTGGTGAGTGCGATGGTCATTAGTGGTCTGACTCAATTTCTTACAAAGTCTGAGGGAGTAAGCTATAATAACTAGCCAGAGTTGGAATGATGCGCTGTTCAGCCATTTTACCCTTATTATTACATTTGACTGCATTTTTCAAATCAGCTGAAAAATGCGGTGAGAAACATGTACGGTTTAAATAAAAATATTCATTTGATAAATGAAATAAATACTTTGGTTGACGCTAGGAACGGTCATTCTTTCCGTTTTTGCGAGGGGTTACATTCATTGGGTATTAAGTCCAGAATTAGTTTGAAGTCAATGAATCATGTGGCAATATTGTGAAATTGAGATTTGATCCGATCTTAGAAGGCTACTTGCGGGACAGTAGGTCGTGCAATATCATAAGTTGTGCTTTACCAGCACAATACAGGGCTAATCCGCGTCGTGATAATATAGCGTCGATGACCATTTTTTTGCATTGCATCGTACAAATACTATAAAGGAAATTTATACATAGGTATTGACTTATAATGGCGCAAACCTCTTAAATGTAACAAAGAAATCATGTTACAAAAGTACTTAAGTGAATCTAATTATTTTATCTCATTTATTTGAAACAAAAGTCCTATATATTGAATTATATAGCGTTAGGCAACCACTCAACAAGTAGCTGATGGCAGTCAGTACGCCACCAATCCACCTGGCCCAATTAATAATCATATGTGCTCCACACTTAATTTTTGTTTGGGTATCAAAATTCGCTCAAGTACGCGTTGCGAGCTAAGTACACGAAGCGGCTTAGGTACACGTAACATGTTACGTGAGTAATGCTCAAAGTGAAGTGAACTGCAGATAAAATGTATGAAAAAATTTTTAAAGACCACGTTTTTCATGTGGACTAAAAAGTTGAAAATAATTTTTCGGCAGCTACTGATCTCTGTTTGCTTTCATTCTCTTGGTCTCTTGTATTTCAGTTAAAATATTTTACAACATCTAAAACGAAAAACGTGAAACGTGCAACAAATTATTGATTATTGTATTGTCATCGGGAGCTGAGCTTCCCTAAAAGTTTCAGAGCGCTAGCTAGCGGGAAAGTTGGTGAAATATCGATTGCAAGATTTGATCATCACAAACAGACAGACAGACAGACAGACAGACAGACGGACACGAAAGCGAGCTAAGAAAAACGTGGTAATAAAACACATGTACACAATGCTGCGTCAATCAATTACGTCTTGTGATACTATTTTATGTAGCAGTAACACAAGTCGTGATTGGTTGACGTACATATGCTGACGTAGTCAGCCATCGGGGTGGCACACGGCTAACGATGCTTAATTAGCATTAAATTAAGTATCGTACTTTCTAAGCATTATTACTAAGTAAGTAATACTAAGTACAAAGTACTTAGCATTATTAACACCTGAATTTTCTAGCAAAAGTGATTTTTAAATAATTTTAGCGGACTGACAGTTAGCGGAACTAAATTTAGCGGAAGCTAGTTGGTCCGCTGCTAATCCGATAAGGAAGAAGTTAGCTTCGCTAATTAGTGGTTAGCGGATTAGCGGAACTATGTACACCACTGCTTATAACAATGAAGACTTAGTAACAGATGTACAAAGAATGTTAAGGTAAAATTCATGAAATAATGACTTTTAATGAAATCCACTGTGATATTTACCTCCTCTCCATACTGAAATGTATCAACTGAAAATTCAAGTCAATATTTTGGAACAATACATTGGAAAGTTATTTTGAAATACATGTTTTAGAAACCGTGTTAAAAGCGAGGGACGATAATGAAAATTAACAGAGAAATCATTTGTATTTCCTTCTCAAAGTTTGAGGTGTCTCATAATTGGAAGATCGAACTGGAAAAACTTCGTTGCTACTGAAGTTTCTATTGGAGAAATTTATTGATTTTCCCATATTTTTTTCAATAATAAATTTAAAATCATCTATTTGCTCACGAAAAGCAGTAGCAATAGTAGTGAATATCTTGAAAATATTCCTAAAATACGAAAAAGAAAAGAGTGTTGCAATCGAACATTTCGAGGATATTGCTTCTGTAATTGATCCAAGCGATATAGATCATTGGAAAATAATTATTGTTAATTTTTGCATGAAATTACGACGGAAAAGGGTAAAAATGTGGTGATATAGTTGCTACCACCGAAATTTTCTAGATTATAATTTTAGCTATGGCTCTCCATTTTTCTGAATTTTTCTGAGCATGTTTTGGTTTTAATCCCATTTCATTAACTGTCGATCTTAGAAACATTATCAATAAGAATGTTTTCTTTGCATATTTACAGATAATCTGAATCCTATATACATCTACTGACGGCATCTGGGAGAGTTGTGGCAGCTAATATTTACTGTTGCAACTATAGCCACTTATCGTTTTAACGGTAAGTAAGTTTAGGAATGAAGCAAGTATTAGCTGTCGGTATTTTCTCATCTGTAGCTGCCTCAGTGTCTTTAGAGATCGCACAAATAAGTTTAAGGGAGTTTCGGGGTCTGCCATTTTTATTTCGCATACCATCTACATCTACCATAATTTCGTGGTTCAGTACCGAAGATCATTAATGGATTAACACTAGTTTAAAAATGAGTTTCATCAATTGATAGTGTTATAGTCTGATGGCAGTAGATGTTAGAAACTCATTACCAATAAATTCTGCTAAATGTGAATTCTTTCACTTTCAAAATAGAATTTTCAATCACAATATGTAGCAATTTGTGTTTAGAAACAACTAAAAACTTGTTGTACATCCGTCAATGTTAAATGTTTTCCCCAAGAACGATGAGACCAAAAAGGATTCACCAAAATTCAAAACTTATCAAAGATTCATTTGGCAGGTCATAGAAATTTACACAAAGTTAGGTACATGCGAACCGTTACTAATAAGATCCTTACTTGCCTTCATTCACCGCCAAGTAAGCCCCGTTAGTTGTTCATGTGCCCAGCTACTCGCCGCTCACCGGCGCCATGAAACAAACATATTTGCTTCTATGCGTTCCTGGTATGAAACAGAAAGGTTTGTTCTTATTTGCCGCTGTTCGCTCCTCGCTAACGAAGCAGTGGGTAACCGTCTACACTAGGCAAGTATCCCGAAAATTTACTACCGACCAAATTTTGCCTCGCGTGCGGGCATCTTAAATTAGTATATTAGTTCATATCATGACGTGTGGAATTAGTTCCATTCTATTCAAATTTATGCCAGCTACTTATGTAAAACAATTAAATTTATATCGGCGTAAATGATTAAAAAATGATTGTGTTTAACCAGTGGATTCAGATACTTCGTGAGACGAACTGCTGGGTCCAGTGTACGGAGGAGCTCAGGATGTCCGTCGGTGGTCTGGTCCTCTTTGGACTGGTTACTGGTAACCCAAGGAGTTCTGTTCTGACCGCTGAAGCGGAAGGTGTGCTGTGCTGAGCTCCCATGACGAAAGCCGGCTTCAGCCGGCTGCCACGTCATCGTTCTCAAATTTTAAGTGCCCGTGGATGCTGTACATTGCTGTCTCGCTCCGAGGCGTTGTGTCATTCAGCCGTCAAGAAACATGGACAACTCTTCAGAACACCTAAATTTGTTGCTGAACCTAATTTTTCCTTACTAACACCGTAATTTCCTTAAACCGTCCTGTCATGGGGCCACATTGAACTAGTATTCAGAGGCTCCCATAAACTTTAAAAAAAAAAAAAAGGACTGGTAACCGAAGTGGTTCTTCCAGTCTGGACTGTTCAAGAGGCGGGTGTGGCGTCGCAGGTGGCGTGTGCAGCTCGTTGTAGTCAACACGATGCTTGCGGAGGATTCAAATGGAACTCTTCTTCAGTGAGAAATTTAACACAAATTTTCTAGCTGTTGACAGAATAAGTTAATCAACGTACGCTCTAAAATTTAAGGCCATTTAGAGGCGCAAAGCAAATTTGCTGGCTGACAGTAATTTGCTTCATCGTTAAGTAGTGAAAAAACTCTTTCAAAGAAGCTTTTGGTGATCAAGTCTGTTCAGAACGTACGTACCAATCCCAACGCTCCAACGGACACTTTTTCCAGTAAGGCAAAGATTACATTACAGTTGGATTACATACGTCTGAGGTCTTGTGCGGTGAGGTCGACTTAGTTGGGGTGGTTTGAGGGCTGATGCTGGCTGGGGATGACTGTGAGGATGAAGGTAGACGAGGCCGTGAAGAAGGCTTAGTTCCTTAGCCGTCTGGGAATAGGCCCTTCGGTTTCGGAGCGTGAGAGGGAAGGGCATGAGGATGGAGGAGAGGAAGAGAAAACATAGATAATCTGGTTGTAGTTCAGACGTATATACGAACGAATGTTGGAAGCAGACGTACAGAAAAAGATATGTTACACTTTCTTCGTAAAAAGAGCGGGCTTCTGAGAGGTTGCTCTTTCTGTAGGCTTAGAGCGAGAGTACAATCACCAATGTTTGCTTCCATGAATCGAAATGGCGCTCATCAATTGCTTCCTTGTTGCTACCGCAGTGCTTCCTGGTGGTGGTAGCTTCGGTGCCTGGCGCCGTGAATGGCGCGATGACGAGCGTGTTCAGACTCAACTCTTACAGGACGAACTACCACCTGTACGAATTCCCTCCTCCGCCAGCTGCCATCGGTCCCCCGTGAGTTAAGCTGATTATTTGTAGACTTTTTTGATGTAAGCTACAAGAGAATTTCTCCTTGCATATGAGCCAAATGTAGGTATAGTTGGATGATTTTTTTAGCTATCGCTATACAAGTGAATTAATAACACAAGGCTATTAGTACGCGAATAGATTTTTTCGTTCATTTTTCATGCCGCAAGAGTTTCTCATTTCACACATTTGAAGAATGCATGTAATTATTTAATCCCCATTCCAACAAGAGACATGAACTATGTGTTCAGTTTACATCAAAAGCAAACCGAAAAATCGATCAACCGAATACCCAAGCAAACAATCGAGGACGAGGGCGCCGGGACGGACGTGGATGCATAATGAGCCAGAATCTCCAACATGCCGGAAGCCATGTGTTCACTTAAACGGCGACTCTTTAATGGGCGCTTGATAAAGTTATTGATTGGTTGAACAAATTATTTTTTTGTCCTTTGTACTTTCGTGCTAATTTTATCCCCAAACACGTTTCAGCGAGTAAGAATGAGGAATACTGAAGGAAATGAATTTAAAGGACATACATCATCCAAGGTTAGTGGAAACATTGCAAAGACCTCCAACATACAAGGTAAGTGGATACATTTCAAAGACCTTCATCATCTAAGGTAAGTGGATGTATTTCAAAGACCTACATCATCAAAGGCGATTGGATGCATTTCATAGATCAATAACGTCTAAGGTAAGTGGATACATTTCACAGATCTATATCACCAAAGGCAAGTGGATTCATTTTATAGACCGTCATAAGCTAAGGTAAGTGACTACATTCCAAAGACCTACATCATCTAAGATTCTAAGGTAAATGGATACATTTCACAGATCTTCATCATAACGTACGTGAATAAATTTAAAAAATCTTCAAAATTTAACTTTAATGGCTCACTTTCGAAGACCTTTCAATTTCGTTTCTGTCTGGCGATGCATTGTTGTAGTATTTTAGGAAGGACCCCAAAGAATGTATAGGCGGAATTGATCTACGTAAAATTGTTCATTCGATGTTATCATATAGCTGATGTCACGGTTGATAGTCAATATAAGCTCCATCTCAGATGGGAGAGTCAATCAATTGCTGGGACGGACCTCAAAATTATTCCCTTGATAGTGGTCGAAGACCATCAATCATGATATTCAAGGTTAAGAATATTAATTTGCATCATTTATTAATAATAAACTTCATTTGTAGATACGCACTGGACACCTGTCGGAACAACAGCATGGATCTGGTGCCATACCCCGTCACCCTAAAGGTAAGTAAGTCACTAAGTCAGACTTTCGGTCCCAATAATCTGAATGTCTTGGGCGTTGGAAGTCAAGGATGTTCTGCCCAATTAATAACCAGAATTGCATCGGGAGCGCAGGAAATTTACATTATTTACAATAATATCATGGATCAGTTAACGACTATACCCTACGCATAGTATAAAAGCATGCCTGGCACCAACTGGGGCTTTTCGCAGGAGGATATATTTTCTGTGGATTCGTACGATTAACGCAATTTGTTTTTTAATAACGGATTAAATTGTTTAATTTCGGATAAAGAAATTAATTAATTGTTATTTTGCCCTCAATGATTATGAAAACATGCCTGTAATATCTCTCAACCAACTGTAAGATCACATGCTGACATAAAAATAACTTCTGGCACCTTAGGAGCAAGGAAGTCGACGTTTTGCAACTCGACACAAAATTTTGGTAAAATCGTGACCTGATACATGCAACTTTTTATAAAATAACGCCACTCTGCTTCGCTCATCCACCGTCTGCTGAGTTATTCAGTTAGACCATAAAGAGGTTCAGCATCAGCTGCTTCTTCGCGTATCTTACACGATTTTGTGCACCTTGCAGCGATATATTCGGGAGTCAACCGTTTTAGTAGTCGACTCTTTTTCATGAACGGATTGACGTCGACCTAACGCGGTCCCATTAATAGTAAAAATGAGGTAAATCTGATTAAATTTTTACCAATGTCAGGACAGGGCGAGTTTGAGCATCCGGCAGAAGCCTCGCTTCTTCTTAGACATGATACGTGCCAGCGACGGCTCGTACGTCACTCTGAGCTCCGGAGTTCCAGTGCCGAACACGGTCATCTACGGCTGGATGCCGTTGCCGGGAAATCCTAATGGCGGCATCAATCGATGCATTGGAATTGGCGGCCCGGACCTCTTGTTCTACGACTTCGACTGCAGTTTCACGACTATCACCGCTGGAGTCATTTGCGTCTACAGTGCATTACAGTAATACACGCACTCTGTTGAACTGACTCGAAGAAAGTTGCCTTTGAGCAAACTTCGTCAGAACTATTACGTGACAATAATGACTGGAAACAGTGTTCTTTGTGTAGACTATTTGCATTCGCTTTTTCTTCATATTGTACGTCAATCGTTATTAGCCTCTATTGGCACTAAATTCAGGCACTAAATTCAAGTATTGGCACTAAATACAACGAGCTGTAGTGGTGCATTGGTGAGAGACTGTCTGTCGCACCCAGCTCCCGGGTTCAAGTCCCACTGAGGACAAGTTCTTCCGGGAAGCTCAGCTCATGGTCAACTCAGCCATTCATCCAACTCTGGTTGATAAATGAGTACCTGGCTTGTCTTGACCTGCGTGTTTTAGTAAACAATTGAATGAATATTGCAGAATGTGCTGAATCTTGAGTCGCTATGCAGGGTCTACCGGATCTCAGTTCGTAATCCCGGTGTTCGCAGCGAATTAAATTTTCTGCATGATCTGACTCAAAAGATTTCAATATATATGATTAGTCAGTCGTCATGGATACAAAACTGATTTACACAAACTATTTCCTTCATTCACTTCAGTTCTCAAGCACCCTGAAAGTTAAGTTGAGCATTAAATTAATCAAAAAGTTATCAATTTTTACAACACTTATCTTTAACTTCACTTCTTGTTGTCTGTCTGCGCTACAAATCTTATAATCGATATTTAACACACGTCTACCTCTCCAATCGATCTGAAATTTTTACACTTGTGTAAAGTTGGAGACAACGCATGAATTAATTGACAGAATAAATAATTTGGAGAATTTAAAAAATTTTATTTTTACAATTTGAAAAATTAAAAAAATAATTTAGTCTGCTACATGTCTTATATAATCGCTATTAATCACACTCCTACCTGTCCAATGATCTGAAATTTTGCACGCACTTGCGTAAAGTTGGAGATAATCCATGATTCAAGTGACAGAATAAGTAATTTTCATGAATTTTTGTTATTTTAAAAATAAAATTTATAAATTAATTTTTATATTGATAATAAAAATAGAAATTCATTCTACAATGAGTTCTTTAGAAGTGTTGTCTTTAAAAGTAATTTTTAAACGCATATTATTACCTTCGCGAAGATCTATTCTGACCCATAAGAATAGATCTCTGGCTGTATACTTTCCATGAAAACGCACGGGACACCAAAATTTTTAGCTTTCTGTTCGATAATAATGTAGTATGTAGTACGACTGCAAAATCTAACTCAAAAACCAATCTTGCAACTCCAAAAATGTAAATTTTCAGTACATAATGTTTAGAGTAATCAGTACATAAAAGATTCATTACTATCGGCGATATAGGCAAGTGTGGTTTTTTTATAGGCAAGTCTTGGCCATGATGGAACTGCTTCGTTATGTACACAGCATAAACAATTTTCGACGCTTAGTCTGAAATTGTAGACCGACAATAATTAAAACGGCGGAATGCGTTTACTTTTCAATGTATGCTGATTTTTAGCTACATTAAGGTGGACCAATTTTTAGAGATGACAGAACACTCCAATCTGGGCCTGAGGTTTAGTACTCGCACTTTGAAAACTTTTTCATTTTAGTAGACTAGATGTGTGCCATTATTAGACGGAGAGCTTTGTATTGCTGGCTCTATTTGTAATGAATTATCTCTGCGATACATGCGCCTCAGTTACGGCATCTCTTGAACCTCAGCTCTGAATTGTGGCAGGTTTATTTGTGGCAGCTCTGAATTGTGGCAGGTTTATTTGTGGCAGCTCTGAATTGTGGCAGGTTTATTTGTGGCAGCTCTGAATTGTG